GTAATTAAATGTTGCCATTACATTACCAGAAGGCTTTCTAGATCCTCTAGAGCAGTTATTCCTTCCTGAGTTATTTCAGAGAAGCTTCTGAACAGTGCTTTGTTAAAGCTCTTCCTTAATGGTCCACCCCAGGCCTGGCACCCCATAATCATAATTTTCGTAACCTCTCCCATCAGCATAGTCCCTGGCTTGCAGAAGATACGCAGTGAGTATTTATTGAATGACTTAAGTGCCTAGAAGGTTTCCATCATGTATTGTTTATAAGATCATGATTCTCAACCTCAGTTGCATGATAGAGCTCCCTGGGGAGCATGAAACTCCTGTTCAGGCCACACTTGAGATCAATCCAATCAGGATTTCTGGGGGTGGGACAGAGGCATCAGTATTTTTTAAAGTACTGGGCTTATTCCAACATGCAGACAAATAGAGGCTTCTCTACCAGTATGCAGACTCTGTGTTCCTGACTGGTCACTTTTCCTTCCTACCAAGTGGGAGTGAGACATGTTAGACCCCACAATGCATCAGGAATAGGAGGGATGGTGTATCAGTCTGTTCTCACACTGCTATAAAGAAATACCTCAAACTGGGCATTTTTTATAAAGGAAAGAAGTTTAATTGGCTCACAGTTCCGCAGACTGTACAGGAAGCATGGCTGGGGAGGTCTCAGGAAACTTACAATTATGGAAGAAGGTGAAGGGGAAGCAGGCACATTTTACGTGGCTGGAACAGGAGGAAGAGAGAGAGAGTAGGAAGCTGCTACATACTTTAAACAATCAGATCTCAGTGATAACCGATTCAGCATCACGAGAATAGCACCAAAGGGGAAATTCACGCCATGATCCAATCACCTCCAACCAGGCCCCACCTCCAACATTGAGGATTACGATTTGACATGAGATTTGGGTGGGGACCCAACTCATATCAGATGGATTTAGCCCAGGGACTAAAGAAGGGCTTTGTGGAAGAAGTCAGCTTTAATTTAGGGAGGAGGTTTCCTGGAAGGTTGAAGAGCACACTGGGAAGACGGGGAAGATGCCAAACATTTTGGGGTATATTCAGGGAAGGGCAGTGGAGGGAGGAGGTTGGACCAGAAGGGATAAGAGATCCTTGCAGGTGGACATCACAGTTGCACAGGCTCTTGGCCAGGCCCTTCTCCAGTGTCAAGGTGAAGCCATGGGTGAGTGTCCCAGGAGAACCACAGGAAGAAGTACCTGAGCCATGGAAAGTCTTATTTGGGGGTCCCAGAAAGGCCTGGACCCCTGAGGCAGCCACTGCTGTCCTGCCTGTAGCAGGTGAGTGCAGGGTGCTGGGGTGAGAGCCCAGCTACTTGTCCAGGAGTCTCGTTCTCTCTGACTTGTTTCCTATGTGTAAATGGGGGTGACGGTACCAACAGGGCTAGATTCCTTCAGAAAATGCTTCACTTATGCCTGGCACAAGGAGGAGCCCAACAGAGCAGATAGATGTGACCAGGACTGAGTCTGGAGAGCTTGGGTGAGCAGCAGGGGCTCCTGATCATGGTATTTCCCAACTACAGGGGGCCCCCGCCCACTCTACAGGTAAACAGCTGCAGCACTGTTCCCTGATCCGTCCATGGACTACCTGGTGTGACTCAGTCCCAGGCTGCCTGCTGGCCTGAAGAGCTGTGGCCACCACCGCACCTGGCTCCAGACCGGCTCACAAGAGCCAGTCAGCCACACTTTTTGCCACAGAAGTGGCTTGAGCCTCAGCTACTTCTCCCAGGGTCTTGTTCTCTCTGACTTGTTTCCTGTCTGTAAATGGGGATGACCAGCTGTGGGCATGTCATGAAGACCAAATTGAATTCCTTCAGAAAATGAAGGAATTCCCTAAACCCACGTTCTGGGAAAATACATTGGCACTCTGAAACGCCATGGTGGGAGTATTTACACCAAGGTGATCTGCAAATTCTTAGAATTGGGTCCTGCTGTTCCCACCAAGAGCCAGATGTTAAACATTTACCGGCAGCCCACTGCTGGGCCTGGGGCCACATAAGCAACCCTGACCCTTCCCTGAAGTGTGGTTCATGGACCAAGCCTTAGCCTTGCTAGGGAGCTTTCTAGAAATGGACAATCCTGCCCTCCCCACAGGCGTCTGGATCCGAATCCTGCAGATTAGGAAGCTTCTCAGGTAGGCTACAGTTTGACACGCAATGCTCTCAGCAATTTGGGGTAAGCAGTACAGGCAGCTGAAAGAGCTGGCTTCCTGTCCCAGACAGCAGGGCCTTTGCAGGGACTTGGAGCGTTCCTGACTGGGAGTGTCACTATGAGAAAATTTAAGAGAAAAAAAAAATCTGTATTTCCACCAGCCACACAACTGTTCTCCATGTTTCTTCCATGCATGTGTTTATATAAAATAAATTGTTAGTGTATTTGCTTTTTACACCTTAGTATACACACTGCACCCCGATTTCTTCCTGAACAACCACCGCCTTAGACTTTGACATGGTTGCCCAAGACCTGCTGACTTTTTGTGACGTTCTTCCAGCTGCCTTTTATTTACTTTCTAGCACGCAGGGCTGTACAGAGATGATCAGTACCTGGAATGTAATCTTCAGAATTAACATTCCTCGTGCCGGGCCTGGCCTGGGTAGCAGGAATAAAACAAGCCTCCCCAGTCAGAGGCAGAATCCCACGGAGAGGGGCACAGACCCCTAATCCGTCTTATTCTGGGAAGTATTTTGGCACACCCTGGCTCTGTAGCTCATAAACAAGTTCTTTGTTTGCTGGGGATATTTGCGGCTCTGCTTACAAGGAAGGTATACAGCCTTCTGCAGCCTTTCATAATGCGGTTGATTTTTACCTTCCAGTAAGGGATGGGTCTGTAAACTGCCTGGGTTTGGGGCAACACAAATCACTTCTTAAAGGTGACTTTACTGTGCAGTGAAAAGCTTGGGAAAGCCTCTAGCATCCTCTGGCGTCATTTCTTCTGTAGCTTTTCTTAAGACCTTGTTCATTCACTCAATGAGTATGTATTGGATGGCTCCTGTGACTCCATCACATCCCAGAGGGATGTGGGGAGGAGGGAGCAGTGTTTAGGTCTTGGGAGGTGGTGACACAGAGAAACTGGAGAACAATGAGCAGGTCTTGTAAGTGCTTGTTTGGCCTGTGAGGTAGTGAAGAGAGTCAGAGAGCGCAACGGAGAGAAGGCACATTTGGTCTGGCCTTGAGGGAACGGTGGGAGTTTTCCCAGCAACAGCAGCATCTCAGGTGGAGGAAATATCTTGTGTAAAGGGATAGGGCACAGGAGGAGGTACTCATGCAAGTATTCGGAAGGCAGCGGGAGGTCTGAAGCTGTGTGGCAGGAAATACCAGACGACTGGACAAGTTAGGTGGTCAAGTGCCTACTGTGCCAGGTGGACTGTTTGGTCTTTATTCTGTAGACACATGGCTGAGAAGGCGCCATCCACAAGACCCACACCCTCCTTTCGTCTGTGCACCCACTAATCCATGCATACACCCAGCCACCAATCCATCCTCCGCCCGGCTTTCACCCATCTATCTATCCACCCATCCAGCCCAAGTATCCTCTGCACCAGGCACAGGATTTCTTCTTGTTTCTTTTTTCTTGGAACCTGAGGATCTTGAGGTTTCCCTAGCAACCTCTTGATACATATTCAACTCCAGAACTATCAGCCCCACCTGCATCCCTCTGCAGACTGTTCAGGTGATGGTGGTGTTATCAACATGGAATTAAGCAATCATGTGACAGTGAGGCTGGCCTGGCCTGATGTCTGGGAAACATGGACCCAGGCTAAAGGTGTCATGGGTAGGTCTACTGAGCACACAATGATGTGGAAATCTCATTCTGTCAAATAATTCTTTTTAAGAGTCAGTTATAAAGCTGTTAGAGCACATGGCAACGCTTTTAGAGCATATGGCAACATACGCCCTTCACATAATTACAGTGTATTTATGCACTTCAAATTTAAAACAGGAATTTAGAAATTAAGGATGCACTATTTAAAACACTCTATGAATTAAACTTTTGTTGATTTGGTTTTGAGCCAGTAGGGGTGAGGGGAGGAGGGAGCAGTGTTTAGGTCTTGGTCTTCTTAAATGGGTCCATTTTTGTAAATACTTTGGTTTAACATCTTTCATAATCTTTTGTGGTGGAAAAAAACATGGTGATTATACAGGTCCTAATACACACACACACACACACACGCACACACACGCACACACACAACAAATAAACAAAAATCACCCAGAAATATTAACAATTTGATGTCTTTTTCCCATTATTTTCTCTGCATATTTTAAGCAATTGTTTTAAAGTGTCAAATCCATTTTATAGAGCTTTGAATCTGACTTCTCCTCCTCCACTTAATATAGGATATGAGAAAATACCATTTTTTTTGAAAATGCCACCTTAATGGGTGACAAGAACCCCACTGAACAGATGCTCTATAGACCACTCCCCTTTGTTCGAGGGCTTAGGAAGTTGCCAGTGTTTTGCTCCTAAGTGATGGTGACCATCCTGCCTTTGCCAGAACTCTGACAATTTCCTTTAGATACACGTCTAGAAATGAGACAACCGAGAAAAAAATGTTTTAAGTGCTGAGACTTAAATTCCTCTTGCCACAGTGCCTTCCAGAAAGGTACTTGGGCTTCACGAGGTTCTTTGGCAAGTGTAGAAAGTGTTCCCAGCTTTCTGCAATGCTAGGAGCGTGCAGTAAGAACGCGTGGCTGTCTGTCTGTCCCCAGAGTGTGCAGGATGCCTCAGAGGAAACATTTATGTCACAAAAACAAAACAGAACATAGAATGATTTGCCTTTCCTGCTTTCTGTCGTTCCCAACACAAATCAATCTCCTTAGAAAAAATTTAAAGAAACGCCTCAAGATCCTCTTAACCTTTCAATCCGTGCTGATTTAAGTTTCGGACCTGAAAGTTCTATAACGAGTTTCTGTTGAATAAGAAAATTTTCTACTCACTTTTTACACCTAAACGTAAGGTTTACCCACTAAGAAGTCAGACCATTGCCAGTTCTCCCGAGCGAGGAGACAGCGTCCCCTGCGCTCTCAGAGCCGCAGCCGGGCCAACGGGGGTGCGGGGTGGGGATGGGGCGAGGGGTTGCCGAGGGCTTAAGAGGGCGGCTTGGGAGACAGCTCCGGCCCGGAACGAGGTGTCCTGGGAACACTCCCGGGTCTGTGGCTTAGGGCAGATCACGCTCGCTCTCCCAGCCTCAGTGTGTCGTTCTGTAACTTGGGTCCAACCCCGGTGCGCACGAACCCAACGCCGCTTTGCACGGAAAGCGCCCGCGGGGACGCGCGCAGAGCGGGGCCGGGGCCGAGGCGCGGCGCGCACTCACCTCCGCCGTACATCTGGCACAGGTAGGGGAAGCGCCACACGTTGCCCAGGCCCACGGCGTACGAGATGCAGGCGAACACGAACTGCAGCGGGTTGGCCCAAAGCGGCCGCGCTTTCTCCATGGCCCCGGCCTCGGCGCGCTCGGCTCCGGCTCCGGCTCCGGCTCTGGCTCGGGCGTCCGGCTCGGCGGTCTCGGTGCGCGGTTACCAGGCGTGCCGTCCCGCCCCGGCTCGGCCTTGGGGTGGCCCCGCGCGCCTCCGCCGCCGACGCAGCTAACCGGGTTTTAAATTGCTAATCTCATTAACGGCGCGCCCGTTGGAGAGGCGAGGCTGGTAAATGGATCACGGTGAGCCCCACCCCGCCCGGCCCCTGCGGCCGGGAAGGCGCCCGAGATTGCAGCGCACGGGGCGGCGTCCTCCGGGGTCTTCCGGCTCGGCGGGACCTTTCCCCTGGCTGCGGAGCTCCTCGGAATGGGCGCCTTTCCTCGGCCACTCACCTGTCATTTATCAAGCGCCTACTGTGTGCCAGGCATTGTCTGGGGACACGGCTGTGAACCACATCCCGGCTCCCTCTTGGAGCTGACATTGTGGCAGAGGAAAACACTTAAATTGGACTGCATGAAATGCCCCATTTTCAACCATTTTTATTTATAGAAAGGACAATGTTTGCCGGCTGCGGTGGCTCACGCCTGTGATCCCAGCACTTTGGGAGGCCGAGGCGGGTGGATCACAAAGTCAGGAGTTCGAGACCATCCTGGCCAACATGGTGAAACCCCGTCTCTACTACAAATACAAAAATTAGCTGGGCTTGGTGGCGTGCTCCTGTAATCCCAGCTACTGGGGAGGCTGAGGGAGGGGAATCGCTTGAACCCGGAAGGCGGAGGTTGCAGTGAGACGAGATCGTGCCACTGCACTCCAGCCTAGTTGACAGAGTGACTCCGTCTCAAAAGAAAAGTCAGTGTTATGGTTCAACCTATCCCACATATAAGACTGGGAGACGCGAGGAAGACAACTAAGGCAAAGTAAAGGGGTGAGCAGTTCCGGCGGGGGGGGGGGGGCGGTCAGGGATGGTTAGGGAGGGCTTCTCAGAGGAGGGGACATAGCATTTGTCAGGTACCAGAAGGAAGTGAGGGACCTTCCTGGCTGTCCCATTCCCTCCATCAACCCAACAGCTTGGCCCTGCGCGCCTGCTGGGTGCAGTAGACTCCCCCACAGGGTTGGAACTGCTGTGGAGGACTGGACAGCTCACACCGGCCTAGGGGCCAGCAATTTTGATTCATTAGGCCGGGGTGGGGAGCTAAGAAACCTCGTATTTCTGCCAGTCTTACAATGTAATTTGCTTGGGGGTGGTCACCAGACACGACAGAACTTGGTGCTTTGCCGTAATGTGGGATTTGGGTTTGTATCCTAACTCTGCTACTGACTTAGCTGTGTGAACTTGGACAAGGCACTTGGACTTCTCTGAGTCTCTGCGTACTCCTCTGTAACATAGTGTGTATGTATTTTCCCCTTTCTCCTACTTGGCAAGGAAGGGCTCGTGTGAGAATTAATTGGGAATAGCTTACTACCTGGCACAGAGTAAGTTCTCAATAAAGACGCCATTATTAAGTCTCCAGCAGGCTGAATGAATGGGCAACACATTCATACTAATGCCAGGCTTTGAACAGTGCCTGGTACCTTGTAAGAGACAAGAAAATGCTAAATAATAATAATAATAAAATTTAAAAGAGCTGAAAAGCAGAGTTACTAGTGAAAATCTTCCTTGAAGCCAAAATGAAATCAGTGCTCTAGGATAGCTCCTAGTTGGGCTTTCCCTGGAGTTCCTGCCTACCTGGTCACAGAGGAGAAGGGTGGGCAGGGTGAGGGAGGTGGAGGCTTCCTCAGGCATATTACCTGCCTTAGAAGTTCCTACCTTGAAAAAGCAAAGCAGAAAAAAAGCCAGCACAGCAGGAGAAACTACTTCAAATTTTTAAACTTCAGATTCTAGATAAATGTTTTTCTTACCCATTGCCTCCTCCCCAAAGGAACCTTCCATTCTTGTGTCTATCCTCATGGGTTAGTTTTGACCTTGATGAAAATGGAATCAAATGGGATGTACATTTTTTGTGCCTGGAGTTAGTTGTTTGTGGGGTTCATTCGTGTTCTGGTGTGCTGTGTAGCTGTGGGTCACTCTCTCACTGCAGCATAGTCATTGGTGGTATGAATATGCTCCAATCTACTACTACTGATGGGTGTTTGTGTTGTCTCTAGTTTGGGGCTGTTGTGAACGGAGCTGTGATGCACATTCTAGCACATGCTCTTCACAGACAAATGCACTCGCTGCTGGGAACTTCTTGGCATCAGGATAGATGTGTTTGGCTTTAGTGGATATTGCCAAACTGTTTTCCAGAGTGGCAGTACCAGTTTACGCTCCCTTTGGGTTTTGGTTGCGTTGCCTCCTAACATTTGTCACTCTGTTTTTAAAGTTCTGCCCAGTCTCGTGCGTGTGTAGTGATAGTTCGTTGTGCCTTATTTTAACTCCCCTGATCATCAGTGGCTGCATACCATTGCATAGGCTGATCGGGCCATCTAGGTATCTTTTTTCATGAAGTGCCTGTTCATATTTTTTGTCAGTTTTTAGTGGGGTTGTCCATCTTTTTCCTATGATTTGTAGTTCTTTACATACTCTGGATATGGGTCCTATGTCAGTTTAGTGTATTACACATTTCTCAGTCTGTGTTGCCTTATATTCTGTCAGTGGTGTCTTCTAACGAAGAGATACTTGTAACTTTAATGAAGTCCATTTTCCCAACCTTTTCCTTTAGTGGTGGTTTTTCTTATGTCCTGTTTAAGAAATCTCTCCTTTATCAACTCCAAGGCTGTGAAGATATTCCTGAGAATTTATAAGGTTCAGGCAAAGTAAGTCTCAGCCATTCATAGACAGGGCTACCCGCCCTCCCCCTGCAAAGGCTCCTCACAGCCATGGCAGCAGCTGGAGTGCCAGCATTTTCTTGTGCTGGTTCTCTAGGCTTCGATTCGACGGGGCTGCCTTTTAATTTGTTGTACTGTTTAGACAGAAGGCCTGTTGCTGCCTCCAGCTATCTACTTGCATGTTCTTTTTCTCATATATGAGTTATTCCTAGAGGGTATGTGGCTATGTAATGACCTTCAGGAACTGGGCGCCTTGGAGAGATGCCTCGCCTGGACCATGAGGTTGCCGGGACTTTGTTAGTTTGATGGAGGCAAGGGCTCTCTTTAATTCCCTACCCCTGGGATCAGGCCAGCACCTCCTTCCATTCACACTGCTGTACTCCCTGGGAGCCCATGCAGTGTGTGAGGCCCCTTGTGGTAGCTTTGGGCAGCACAAAGAATCACCCAGATAACCCCAAACAGCAGTAAGTAAATGCAATGGGCAGATGCTCAAGGCTCCTGGTAAGGTCCCCATGACTTCCTGAAGCCCATGTGATAGCTCTAATCGGACAAGGTCAGTTGTGCTGCTGGGACTCCTGGAGTGGAGAGGACAGGCTTAGAAGGGCTGGGGGACTTTCACGGAGAGTCAGCAAGACAGATAGTGAAGAGGAGTAGTAGGCTGCCAGGTGTGTAACCACTGGCTCTCTGCAGAAAAAGCTCTGATTTGTAGCATTTGCCAGTTTCTGTGGTGTAAATACTCTTACTAAGACTGATTCTTTTTTTTTGAGATGGAATCTTGCTGTGATGCCTAGGGTGGAGTGCTCACTTCAACCTCCACCCCTCGGGTTCAAGTGATTTTCCTGCCTCGGCCTCCTGAGTAGCTGGGATTATAGGCACCCACCACCACGCCCAGCTAATTTTTGTATTTTTGGTAGAGATGGGCTTTTACCATGTTGGCCAGCCTGGTCTTGAACTCCTGGCCTCATGTGATCCACCCGCCTTGGCCTCCCAATCCCAAAGTGCTGGGATTACAGGCATGAGCCACCTCGCCCAGCCTTACTATGACTGATTCTAAGCTACCAAAGTTATGTCAGTAAACGTGGAGACATGCAGTAGCACACCACTGTACTGCATTTACACCATACAGATACAACAGGCATAGATAATAGTGCAGTCAATAATCAGGACGTGCTGAGTTTTGCATATTTGTTACCTCTGTTTTAAATAATTTATTCAATTGCCAGCTTATGTAGTCTAGTTCTTAGTGACCGTATTTAACAACCAGCCCACAGAATTCTTGAAAATTTACCAGTTGGCTCTCAAGAACCTGTGGGAGCTGGCTCTGGCACTCCACAGGGGGGTCGGGGCTGAGGAAGTTACTTCCGAGTGGCAGGGGCAAGGGGAGTGAGTTCAGCTCAGTGGTGTCTGGTGCCCCATGGCAACGGGGTTTTCAGCTTAGCTGAGCCCCACTCTGAGTGCTCCTTGGGGCCTCCACCGCTAGTACACAAAACACTGCCTGTGGACCGGCCTGTCTGGTCTCATTGTGCCCACGTTAATCAGGACAGACTTCCCTGAAGGATAGAAGGCTAGCATGCCTTAGTTATCTGATTTCTGGAAGAGATGGAGACAGTGGGGAGGGCCCTGACTCAGTTGCATGGGTGTGGGCTGCTGGGCCAGTGCCAGGGTTCCTGATAACTCTGCCAACCATGAAGCTCAGGCAGCTTTCAATAATGTGCTCGTCCTACTGATTCCATTGTTACTTAACCACCATTAGTGGCTCGCTGTCACCACAAGATAAAGTCCAAACTCCTTAGCCTGGTTTGTAAGGTTCTGAGGATTTCCTTAATTGGGCTCTGAGGAATTTAACCCTTGCACACCTAGGCTCCAGGAGGCTTTTCACCTTCTGGGAAATGCTCTGCATTTGATACTTCTGGGTAGTCTCTCAGCCAAGAGCACCTCTGCTTCCTCAACCCGGAGAATCCTGTCTCTTCTCTTGACCCAGATGATTTATTACCACTTTTTGAAATTTAAAATTTAACACACTGATTTTTTAGGGGTGAAGTCTCGCTATGTTGTCCATGCTGGTCTTGATTCCTGGGCTCAAGCAGTTCTCCAGCCTCAGCCTCTTAAAGTGT